CGTCGTTGTTGTGCAGCACGGCAAAGGCCGTCTGGTCATGTCTTGCGACAGCTCTGTCTGGCCCTTGCAGTGCTGCTCGAGCGCACGGTTCATGAGGGTCATGGGCGGGCCGGCATCGTCGAGGAGGGTGGCGACGAGGGCGCGGAGACCTGTGTTCTTGGCGAGGGCAGCGGAGCGGGATGTGTGGCGGACACCCGAGGCTGGTCGGCCTGGACTGACTTCAGCGAAGAGGCGGAGCGTCGTCGCGTGCTCGAGGACGCGCTCGACGACTTCTTGCGGCAGGGAGGTGTGCTTGGCGATGGTGGCGTGATCCGCCGAGCCGTCCAAGGGCACTGCGTCCCAGAAGTTGAAATGGTTCAGGATGTTCAGCACGGCAACGTCAGGCATGGACTGAGGGATGTCAGACGCGTGGGGCAGGTAAGACTCCAGGGAGAGAGCTCACGTTGTGAACATAGTTGAAGATGCTCTCGCTTGGGCCTTGGGCGAGGTACCACATGTCTTGTAAGGAGTCAAGGAGCTTCTGGCGCAGCACAAAGGCCTCGGGCGTGATGCCCTCATAACTGGTCGGGCTATCGGCTTCGAAAGTTGGTTGGGGGATTTTGTTCTGCTCGAGGAACTTGGTAAAGGAGGCTGACAGCTCAGTCACCTTGGCCGCAAGGCTCTTGAGAGTTTCTGGGGAATTAGACATTGTATGAGATGGTCGAATCGAACGGGGAGCGTGAGAGTAGCAGAGATCGTGAGTGATCGACACGGCTGCTATGGTCAGAGGCCCGGCTGTCTATTTAACGTCGAACCCTGAATCACGAGCTTGCGATAGAGTGCTCTGGCCTCGAGCTACCCCTCCTCGCGCCCGACTAACTGCCCCTCCGCACTCGGACAATCGCCATTCTGCAGGAGAAACTAGAACCGAAAGCGAATACATGATCCATCCTGGTGTGGAAAGAAGACCAAGGTAGTGGCGGTAGTGGATGTAACACCAACGCAAGGCGACGATCAGATAATCTTATCAGATCAAAAGTGATGGAGATCCCACCAAATGCTAGGCCCAGTGGAGGCTAGACCGTTGGGGTCTGTCCCCAGGGGTGACATCAGTGCCGGCTCCATGACGTGGTCTTGCGGCATTTTCCAGGGCACCAAGCAGAAGAAGGGAGCACCTAGGAAATTTTAGGTCGCAGGCCATTCGATGCGTGGCGCCGCCAGTGCCGCTCCTTGGCTTAATGTTCCCGTGGGGTTGGCCTCGGCACTTCTTGGAGGCGCCGTTCTGGTTATGCGGTCGTGGAATTTTGCGCCGTGAAGGAGGGAGGGAGGCCTTGCAGCCCCATGCACAGCAATGTCTGAACGGAATGTGGGCGAAGATCTCTTGTCGCCTTGCGGCAACCCTCGGGGACTCGGCGTCAGATCACGTCTTCTGCGGGATTAACACCGAGCAGCGTCGATATCCGACGTGGAGGGGTAGTAGACCGATGGAGGAGAAAGCGGGATGGAGCAAGCCGGAACATAGCTTATGTGACATTAGGTTGAGACCCGTCAAAGGCGGAGCTTTCATCGCCGGGGGTCTGAGGGAGGATCTTTTCAACGGTTTCGCAGGATAATTGTTTCACCCTAACCTCAAGGCTGTCGGTTAGACTTTCCTTGCAGCTAACTTATCATCGTCAGATACCTCCAGACAGACCCCCGAGCTGATTTCAGAGTTGAACCTAGTCCACGTGGGCCAGCTGCTTCATATTTCTTTTCGAAGGTTCTCTTGTTTTGATGGGCAATGTACGGATTCTCGTGACAATCCTTGCGAGAGTCAACGATTGCCGTGAATGAATGCCGTGAAGATTACTCCCCGAGGTGAAGGTCCAAAAAAATGCTTCGGTCGAGGTTTGATCCGAAGCCAGTTACTGAGTTCCGAGCTTTGTGCAAGTGCTATGTCTTGTTCCGAGCCAACACCTCACTTCCTCTCGCGGCCGAGCTCATCCAACTGCTCTCCGCCTTCGGCGTCCCTAGCCTTGACAGCCCACGCCAGCTCCTCATCAGCCTGCACTGCCCGCTTCTCGTCCTCCTCTCCAAGCTTGACGTTCTGCGCTAACCAGGCCAGAAGAACGAGCACCGTGCCGACGCACAACGACCCGATCGCCAGCGTCTGCTGAGTCTCGCGGTACGCCTCATTGATGTCATCTCTCTCCACACTACCGATCGTGTAGTTCTGCGCAACAACGATGGACCCAAAGATTTTACGCGCCTCGGCTGCGGGGAACTTGGCGCGCAGCTTGCGCGGGAGGATCGAGTTCCAGATGCCACCGCTAATGGTCGTGCCTAGGTTCGAACCGAAGCCCAGAGACGACAGATAAACGGCGGTGGCCACGGCGATTTCCTCATTGCCAACGGCTGCTTGGAGGGCAACTTGCAGAGACACCTGGGCGAGGCCGCGACCCACGCCGAGGAGCGACTTGACTGTGATGAAGGCAGGCTCGTTGCCAATATGTGAGCCCGATATGTTGGTGAGGTAGATTGGGAGACCCGCGGCACAGGAGGATGAGGACCACACCGATGGCGATGAATGGC